TTCAACACAAAACCATGCAACCGAAGGTCGCGTGAGATTAAGAGTTGGGGCATCGACTTTTAAGGGTTTCCCGATCGCCGTTGCCATGGAAAAAATAACCTCCGGTACAGAAACTCAATTGGGAGATCTTGAAGTGATACCAAAATCGGGACAATCAGGGGATACTCTTCAAACTTGAATCCTAGTTTCCACTTTAGTATCCGCATCGAAAACCCAGCGATGTTCCAAAAGGTACGCTTCCAACAATGTTTGTAGTCATCCTCCCTTTCGAAGCGAATTAATACATGTCTAGGGTTCATCAACCCTAAAGTGTAACTCCCATGAAATACAATTTTCTTAAACTCCTTGTGGATTTCCTCCATCTTTGGGCGTCCATATGAGAACTTCCCAACCAAACTCAATTTGTGAGGAGCGATTAATCTTTCGTACTCCTCATCTTCGTATTCAATAACGGCAGAACCGTTTACGAACGTAACTAGCTTAATTAGAGAGCCTTTTTGCACTTTTTCAATCGATGGCTTGTGAAATAGACTAGTAAACGTTGGGGGGAGCCTAGTGGGGGGGGTCGCCCGGAGGATTTCTGGCCATGGAGGCCGGCTGAAGCTAGGCTTATGTCAAATAGTGACCAAGAAACGTGATGGAGGCCGTCTCAAACATAGTTTTCTAAAGTAGAACATGGTGATCTAAAATATAGTTTTTTAATGTACTTTCCATTGGTTTACTTTGATAAATACTTACAAAGAGTGTTACAAAAGAATTTTTTTCTCAAAAAGTATTTGTTTTCTAAATGTTGCTAGCAGTGAAAAATATTAAACCAACCCGTGTTCTTAAACCAATACATGTTGGGATAAAGGAAAAAACAAACCAAATATAGAAAAATGGAGATTTATAGTCAACAAAAAAGAAACTACTAATTCTTAAAAATCATCTCAAATATTTATATAAAATACCAAAAGAAAAAGACAAACGAACAAAGCACACCTATGCTGATCGTAAATCCATATCGCACCTCACTTACAGTTTTTATAATAATCTAACTATTAATTGTTTGATCATGAGAAATATTTATGTGAAGTTCATCAAGAAATTTATAAAGCACACTGGTTATAGTCGCCAGTGTAAGGATCACCTCTCTTATGATTCTTATAATAATTATCATATTAAGGCCTAACTTTTCCTATACGAGTAACTACTTATTTTGTTTACTTTTTAATCATTTCCCTTTCTTATCTCAAGAAACATTACTCACCCGCTTATAAGGTAAACCACATAAAATGTCATTATTAGGCTATGACACATCTAAAGATTCAATGGTATATACATTTAACACTAAGGAATCCAAATGGCATTTGACTTCCCTTTATATATGCTCTTCCATGAGATGAAAAAGCAACCTGATCACCAGCTTATTTGTTGGACTGGTATGATCAGACAGGGCATTTGCAAATGATGTATTCCCTAATTTGGACCATGATGAGTTACTATATCTTCTGTTTCCTCTCATTTTTTATTTTTTAATGTGGAAGCAAAAGCTTAAAAAAATGATGTTTTAGATGAGTTCGAAAAGACAAAAAATCTATGCTAAAACTATGTTTTCAAGAGTGAAATATGGTTATCTCATTATGTGCAGTTGTGGCTGCGGCTTAGCTTTCAAAGTTGCACCAAAATGCAGCTCAAAGAATTCCTTCTCCAAGGAAGTAAAGACCTTTCCAACACTTCTAAGAAGAAGACTTCGTGGAGTCGCATCTCAATAATCGAATAGAAAGCTGTCAACAACACCAAGTTGATTGTGAGACGGGGAGATGGTTCTTTCTGGTAAGATAATTGGTCGCAGCATGGAGTTATTTGGGATGTGGAGTCTTTCAAACCCCCACGCCCGGAGCTTTCAATAAGGGAATTCCTTGTTCATGAAGAACTTTACCTTGTGACGATGGATGGAATTGAACCAACGTCTTCGGTTGGTTACTATGGCGGCCATGGCCGAATCAAAACACTAAAACCTGCAAAAAAGGGCCTTGGGGTCTCTCGAGGGTAGACACTCCGATACTTAAGTCAGTAAAATTATTTGTAATAAGGGTATAAACTGGGTGCATAAAGCGTACCTTTAATCGTGAAGGGTTGATCCCTATTTATAGAGCTAGATTATGGAACCCTTTCTTGGTAGAAAAGTAATTAAGAACCGACCTAGAAGCTTCCAAAGGCTGGTTGGACCTTTTACCGAACTTGGGCCGGCTTAGTCGCGGGCCGTACTAATTTGAACTCGTCAAGTGCCCCTTATCAAGCCTATACTTCGAAGTCTGAAGATTGGGTAGGCTTGATAACGTGAAGGATATAGTTTCCTCAAGTTCGGAAAAAACTGACTTGGATCGAGAACCTGCGACAGGTTAGCATCGAGGAGAGATTAAAGCCATGAAAGCATTAGCGCGTACCTTTCTCGATGTGCATGTCACTTATAATGATTGACATCGAAGTCTGAGGAAGATGAAGTCACTAGTCCAGACTTTTAATCGAGAAAGTTTCATGTGATGATCTTCACAATCTGCACCAGAGAAATATCGAGGCGAGTGCCCCGCTCCTTGAGAGGATTATAGAAGAAGAAGTAGTGGAGATTCCCACTATTTCAGATATAATGGTGTGCTGTCAATAACCGGCAGAACAAGAGATCTGCTTGAAGATTACAATGCGCACTTTAGATCGAGAAACATTAACTCCAAATCTCAAGAATGATGAATGAGAAACGATATCAAATAATCTCGTGAACAGAGGCAAGAGATTTGCCTAAATGAGGTTGAACACATGAGTCTCGAAGACTTCAAGAAGATAAGCTCGAGAAGGAGACTTCTGTCAATACTATGTTGAGTACCAAGAGAGAAGATGTAATGAGACTGTGATTATTGACATTTGTCGTCCAAGACATAAGTTCGAGAAGAAATATAAGCTGGAGCTGCAAGCCAAGAACTTAGCCCACTATAATCTGCTGTCAAGAAGGAAACATAGTGGAGCTGCATGCTAAGAACATGCCAAGAACTTACCCATCAACTTTGGCTAAACCTATAAATGCAAAAATTTATATTGTGAAAGAATATAAAGCCAAAAGTTTTCAAGATACACAAACCTTTTGTTGAGCCTTCTTCTCTAACTTCTTCGTAACTTGTTCAACCTTTTTTTGAGCCTTTGTCTGAAGTTTCTTTGTAATTTTTTCACCCTTAGACTCAATTCTCATTTTCTTAGGTGGATGGCCTCGAGACCTCACATGCATAGGAGAATGTATTTTTGCTCGTTTAACCCTTGAATGTGGGGTTGACAAGTCACAATTTTTTTCAACCTCCATCTGATCATCAGAATCAAAAGCAATGAGTTTACTCTTGATCTGCTTCAAAACTTCATACAAAATAGCAAAGGTTCCGACCTTTTTGGACCCAAGCTCCAGCATTTCTTGAATCAATGGAGTGAATTTATTGTATCGAGATCTTTCTTCATCACAACCATAATCATCATAAATGTTAGTGATCTTTTGATATCCACGCTTAATATCCTTGTGCCATCGATCCAAAACATAAATTGATGGAACCTCTATCACATTACTTCTGATAAGCAGAGATATTGCATGCCTACATAAGATGCCATGAAACTCAAAGAGACGACATAAACAGTTAATGTGACACTGAATCTCATCGTATTGTACCCAGAATGAGACTTTTTAAGGAGGTGCTCCATTGTGTCCAAATACTGTTTGTACCACTTCAAACATCAATAGCTAGCCTTCTTATTTCACAAATGAGGCATTGCAAAGCATTAGCTCTCTCCATTCATCTTGAAACAACTTGAATATAGCATTAGTATAGACTAGTTGAAACTGCTCTTGAATGGGATAACCATTAATTAATGGGATGACAGAGTTGAAAGAATGAAAATCTAGACCTTTTTTTTTCTATTTTACTTTTTAAAGCATCGTCATACTGCTAAACAAATTGTTTTAGACTTGTTTTTGAATTAAAATAATCATCAAAAAAGGCATTCATGCTCTCACTTCTTTGAGATCTTGATATTCCTGCCGAAAAAGTATCTTTCACATACACAGGAATCAATTTTCTGCGCTCTTTATACAATGTATTCAACCATTCACTTTTCTTCAAACCAAATTCATGAATCATTTTATGTCAATTCTTCTCACATTCATCAATTGTAAGTGAATTATAAACAATACTCTTCAATTGCTTTTTTATTGTCTTATAATTAGCATAATCACATAACTTTGTAGAAATTTTTTTCATGATATGCCAAAGACAAAAACGATGGTGAGAATTACGAAATACCTCTGCAACTGCATTCTGAATAGCTTGCCACTGGTCCGTAATGATAGATTTTGGAGCACGTCCGAACATGCATGACAACCAAGATCTAAACAACCATGTGAGGTGTATCTTCATTTGATAACAATCCGCACCCAAGCAAAATAGACTGCCCATGGTGGTTTACACCAACAAAATGGAGCAAAAAGCATGTCATATTTATTGGTTAAGTAGGTAGTATCAAATGTTATAACATGGGGAAAACAATCATATGCAGCCTTACTTCTTGCATCTGCCCAAAATATATTTTTGATGCGGCAATCACCATCCAAATCCAGTAGGTGGAAGAAATTTGGGTTTCGACTTTGCATGCGACAAAAATAATTATTCAATGCTTCACAATCTCCAATGCCTAATCTCAATATTTTAACTTCGGCGACAAAATTTCTGCATTTTCTCTCCTCAAAAGGCAAATTCTCAAACCCACCGTACGCCACTACAAGTGATTGAAAACTCTTAGCCATAGGTATTCCAGCTTGATCATTTAACACTAATTTACTTTTTACACCGGGATCTATTACTTGATTACTCTTAAAATGGCGTGACATCGGAGGACTTAAACCATGGTTGTACCCCAGCGACACACTAGATATCATAAACATCCCATCATTCTGAAGAGTAACATTAATCTTAGCTTTGCATTCCAACCTTAGATTCCTTCTTCTTACCACCTTTGGCACATCCCAGTGTAAAATATTTTATCTTGCCATTGTCATCTCTTCTATGCCATAATTTGCTAATGCCGAATCCGACATTTTGCACATACGAACAATAAAGACCATGAACATCTTCTTCCAATGGAAACAACATCCCAACTTCAGGAACTTTAACTTTCTCATTTGAACTTACAAAGTCTATATGCTCGTCATTTTTATCTTTTATGCCATGAGAATTAGTTTTTTGCTGCTCCATAAAAACTTGTAAACTGCACGTACACAAAAATTACAACTTATATCAAGCATGTACTCTTGAAGCAGCAACCTTTAGCAGCATATTTGTATGACTGGAATGATCTACAAGGACAATTGCGTATTTCGTATTCCTTCTTTTTGGACCATGATGAACTGCATCATCTGAAATTTCCTCTCATTTTAAAAATTATAACATGTATCCAAGGGCTTGACAAAAAAATGCTATATTAAATGAGCTCGCAAGGGTGACAAACACTGGTTTAAAGGTTTTTTGCCAAGGGGTGTTAATGTACTCAATATAGATGGATCATCACATGGTAATCCAGGAGAAGCTCCAAAGTACTTGAGACAAAAGTTGTGGCCACAAGGTGTTGTAACAGGCCACCCACATAGTTGCAAACAAAGAGAGCACCAAAAGCTTTCAATAAGAAGATCCAAAGCTTCAATGTGCTTCTCTTTGCCATTTCGCTTCCCCTGTTCCTCTTCTCCATTCTTGAACTTTCCGCAAAGAACCTCCTATTTTTTCATAGCCTTCTCACTCTCCATCATGGAAGCATCATCGTTGATAGCCTTAATTTTGGCAACTAGGTCGCTGACGGCCGGCGAGGCCAGAGCTCCATTTTAGGACATTGTCGGAGCAATCACGACAAACATTTTTCACAATCTCTTTCAGTGTTTCGGGAAACTCTCTCAGACAGTACAAGTGCCTCGGCAAACCGCATGTGGTGCAGCCGATGGTCCATTCGAGTTCCGAGGTTTTCTTGTAGCACATACACTCGCTGTCCACGTCAAGTGAAAGAAGTGGCTGGAGTTTTTGAGAATCACCATCATCAATCCCATTATCACCCACCATTCAAGACAAAGATGGAAGATTCAGGAGCAAAGAAATGGGAAAAGGGAGCAATCGAAGTGAAACTGTGAAAGGGGAAAAGTGACGCCTTTGAAGGAAGAAGGAGAGAAAAATGGTGAGGGCGGGAGTTTGAATTCGGTTGGGCTGTTGGGTTATTTCCGATCCAGGAGAAGTTGTTTCAGGCTATATTATTAGTAATAATGAAGGCAACCTAAAAGCAACTCGAAATAAGAATTAAGCTCTTTGAACAAGTTTCGAGCCTGAAGTTGAAGCAATGTTACTTGGCTTAAAGAAATGCAAAGATTTACAACTACGACAAGCCCGAGTAAGACCGTGAGCTAAATGGTGTAGCTGACTCTATGGCAAAGATAGCATGCGCAAGATCACCTCATATATACTCATCACTCACGGTCATGGATTGTTGTTCCTTGATCAACAATCTATCCCCTATCTTTGCGTTAAATGATTCATTTGATGTATATGAATTGTAATAGATAGTGATTTATTTATTTAATTTATTATGCTTTATACAGAGCTACCATGGGATTAATAGTTAAATTTTTGTGAGATAGCTCTTAGTTTACTTACACTAAACAATAGTGCTATGTGAGTGTAACAAATCTTTGTAAGCCAGATACTTAGTGTAATTTACATTAGAACTGTCACGGAGTTCTTATAAAACTCTTGTAAGACTGTTCTTTTTAATTTGGGTAAATCTTAAATATTGCCCTTTGTATCTTTCTTTTTATTTCAATAAAATGGGGATCCTTCCCCCAGATTTCGCCTTAAATGTTTCTTAAAAAAACTATTTTAAAATAATGTTTTGGAAATGAAATATAATTATATCATAATGTGTGGTTACCAAAAGTAGATTTCCCAAATCTTGTGCAACTCAATATTTGGTAAGAATGTTCAACGTTTTGTTTGGAAAAAATCAAATTAAAACAATAAAACTCCTGGTAAAATAATCATCGATTTAAATTACGCAATACTATCACCGTTAAAACTCATCCAAATTACCATTTGATATAGCACTTAGGTTGCACGTGTTGTACCATATTTTATTCAGTAATGCTCGTTTTGGTCACGTGGGTTGCACGGGTTGTATAATATTTTATATATAAATTTAAACATTTTAATTCCCTAAAAATGTTTTTGTATTGTTAAAAATACTTTTAACTAAGAGAAAACATAAAAACGGTTATAATATATAGTGTCGATGAATAGTGATTCATATGTACACAATAATTATTGTTAAAATTCTAATTTTGGAGAAAAGAATAAAATTTTGACGGCAAGTTCCATCATAATCACATGGTTATTATACTAACACATCATTATTTTTTTCACTATATGTTTTTAACTACACACATCCCTTTCCTTAATATCGTTTTTTAAAATTTCCAAATAGCTAAGAGGTTGTAACAAAATAGAAATGTTGTAAATATTGAAATTGTCTTGAACTTACATTGAGGAAAGAAGGGAATAAGATAGACTCACCTAAAAAAAGTAAAATAATTTCAAGGCTTGTTTCATCATGGAACCGTAATCTCCAACCAGTCCAGTACGAGATATCAGGACATCAGCAGATCTGGCAATGCCTTCTAGCTCTCTTCAAATTCAGAGCAAGCAACTCATGTAAACGTTGATGCTTTAGACTTTCGTTCCTGAGTACGAGGTGTGTTATTCCCTGACCTTCTGCTAAAAAATATGTTTGCTTTCGTGCTTCTCACAACATATTATTCTCCATCTTCAACGTCATGCAAATTTCAGAGTTAAAGATCTCCTGTCTACAAGTGGACAATGGAAACTAGGCATGTTGCGAAAAATTTTTTAAGACAATATCATACAACAAATTCAAGGTATCTACATCAATCCTCAGTTAGCAGACCAAGATGACAAGATCATTTGGCAAGCAAATCTAAATGGACAGTATACAATTAAGTCAGGATACTACCAGCTATGAATATCGCAGGCAAAAATCCTCCTCGCAGTATCTACTCGAAATATGTGGCAACAATTGTGGAAATTGCAAGCTCCTGCAAAATATAAGTTACTGACCTGGAGAGCTTTGACGGTGGCGCTTCCAACGTTGATTGATCTGAATAAATGACGGGTTGATCTTTCTTTGATTTGTGCACGATGCCAACAGATGGAGGAAGACACGGATGATCTCTTCCTCGGGTGCGAATGGTCACTCCAGATCTTGAAATTGTCTTCATTAAGGAGCCACTTTGACTCCAACCCTCCAATCTTGTTTCGATCTTGGATTGAAAACTGGCTGGCAACACCACCGATGGGGGATAGTTGGTCTCTGTTAGTCCATCTTGTTTGGTGGATTTGGATATCGCGAAATCGGAAAGTCTGGGAAGGAAAGCAACTTGATCCCAATCTGGTCTGGAAGTTGGCGTTTGAGGATTTCCAAATGGACCAAAATTTTTTTGACAAGGCTATATAGAAGGAGATGAATTTGGAAACTGAAGAATTCAACGTTACCTCAGTTAATTTGAGTGGGTGGAATTTACTAGGATGCCAAGCATTAATTACCATTGATGGATCCTACCGACAGTCAACAAGACGTGCAAGTGCTGCTTGGAATATAAAATCCTCAACAGGGTCAATTTTACAAATAAAAGCGGTCCAAATACAGGCTTTATCGGCCTCACAAGCTGAAGCGCAGGCATGTAAATTGGCCCTCGAAGCTGCATTACAATTGGGTCTTACGAATGTTACGGTATATACAGACTGTAGTGCTTTAGAAGCGCAATGTTTGCATGAATTGGATTTCCATGTAGAAGCTCAGATTCTAATAGGTGAAATTATTCAGCTAAAACATAAGTTTGTTAGGTGTTCTTTAATTAAAGTAGATTGATGTCAAGTAGAAGAGGTACAAGGCTTGCCTATTACCAAACAATGTGTACAAGTACCCCTCTTTAATCTTTTAATATAATACTTTAATCTTCAAAAAACAAATGACGTTGCTTGTCTAGTTTGCAGCACGTGATTCGTGCATGAAATGTGTATAATGCCTAGTTAAGAGAAAAGGGATAATAGTTGGAAAGACATGTGCAAGTTTAATTAAACTTTGTGTTATAAAATACAAAAGGTTATCTTAGATATAGTTTTGTCATGTACTCGCGTTGTTTTACTTTGAGATATACTTACAATGAGTAATTTATTATGTTTTATACAGAGCTACCATGGGATTAGTAGTTAAATTTTTGTGAGATAACTCTTAGTTTACTTACACTAAACAATAGTGCTATGTGAGTGTAACAAATCATTGTAAGACAGAGAGTGTAATTTACATTAGAACTGTCACGGAGTTCTTATAAAACTCTTGTAAGACTGTTCTTTTTAATTTGGGTAAATCTTAAACATTGCCCTTTGTATCTTTCTTTTTATTTCAATAAAATGGGGATCCTCCCGCCAGATATCACCTTAAATTTTCCTTAAAAAAACTATTTTAAAATAATATTTTGGAAATGAAATATAATTATATCATAATGTGTGGTTACCAAAAGTAGATTTCCCAAATCTTGTGCAACTCAATATTTGGTATGAATGTTCAACTTTTTGTTTGGAAAAAATCAAATTAAAACAATAAAACTCCTGTTAAAATAATCATCGATTTAATTACGCAATACTATCACCGTTAAAACTCATCCAAATTACCATTTTATATAGCACTTAGGTTGCACGAGTTGTACCATACTTTATTCAGTAATGCTCATTTTAGTCACGTGGGTTGCACAGATTGTATAATATTTTTATATATAAATTTAAACATTTTAATTCCTTAAAAATGTTTTTGTATAGTTAAAAATACTTTTAACTAACAGAAAAGATAAAAACGGTTATAATATATAGTGTCGATGAATAGTTATTCATATGTGCACAATAATTATTGTTAAAATTCTAATTTTGGAGAAAAGATAAAATTTTGACGGCAAGTTCCTGCATAATCACATGGTTATTATATTAACACATCATTAATTTTTTGACTATATGTTTTTAACTACACACATCCCTTTCCTTAATATCTTTTTATTTTAAATTTCCAAATAGCTAAGAGAACGTAACAAAATAGAAATGTTGTAAATATTAAAATTGTCTTGAACTTACATTGAGGAAAGAAGGGAATAAGATAGACTCACCTAAAAAAAGTAAAATAATTTCAAGGCCTGTTTCATCATGGAATCTTAATCTCCAACCAGTCCAGTACGAGATATCAGGACATCAGCAGATCTGGCAATGCCTTCTAGCTCTCTTCAAATTCAAAGCAAGCAGCTCACATAAACGTTGATGCTTTAGACTTTCGTTCCTAAGTACGAGGTGTGTTGTTCCTTGACCTTCTGCTAAAAAATATGTTTGCTTCCGTGCTTCTCACAACATATTATTCTCCATCTTCAACCTCTCATTCTAAGTTTTCAACTTAAGAATTTCACTTTTTTTCATTTTAACATACTTTTTCATTTTACTTGAATTAGAAAACCCAAAACGGGAAGTGCTTTTTAAATTGAAAAATATTACTTAAAAAAGGTGGATCAAATAATTGCCCATTTCATATGGAAAGGAGATAAGGAGGACAGGGGAATTCACTGGAAAGCTTGGCATCAATTATGTTATTCTAAACTGCATAGAGGCTTAGGTTTGAGATCAGCCAAAGAATTCAATCAAACAATGTTGGCAAAACATGCTTGGAAAGCAATCATTCAACCAAATTCCTTGATTGCTCAGATCTATGAGGGGAAATACTACCATGATAAGTCTCTCCTACATCTAGGTAAGGTGAATAATACAACATGGGGCTTCAAAGGGGTCCTTTGGGGGGGCAGAGCTACTACGGTCACAGACAAAATGGCATGTTATCTCAGGAAAAAGCACAAAAATCCACAAGAATTGGATTCCAAATCAGGTAAACCCAATCCATTCAGATTCAATACTAACCACTCACGCAAATTACAGAGTTAAAGATGACCCAATCCACAAGAACTAGGCAAATTGCAAATTACCCTATCCACTCATGCAAATTGCAAATTACCCAATCCACAAGAACTGTCTACAAGTGGACAATGGAAGCTAGGCATGTTGCGAAATTTTTTTTCAGAATATCATGCAGCAAATTCAAGGTATCTACATCAATCCTCAGTTAGCAGACCAAGATGAAAAGATCATTTGGCAAGAAAATCCAAATGGACAGTATACAGTTAGGTCAGGATACTTCCAAGCTATGAATATCGAGGGCAAAAATCCTCCTGATGTCGCAGTATCTACTCGAAATATGTGGCAACAATTCTGAAAATTGCAAGCTCCTGCTAAATATAAGTTACTGACCTAGAGAGCTTTGACGGCGGCACTTCCAACGTTGATTGATCTGAATAAACGAGGGGGTTGATCTTTCTCCGATTTGTGCACGATCCAACAGATGGAGGAAGACACAGATCATCTTTTCCCTGGGTGCGAATGGTCACTCCAGATCTGGAAATTGTCTTCATTAAGGAGCCACTTTGACTCCAACCCTCCAAACTTCTTTCGATATTGGATTGAAAACTGGCTGGCAACACCACCGATGGAGGATAGTTGGTCTTTGTTAGTCCATCTTGTTTGGTGGATTTGGATCTCACGAAATTGGAAATTCTGGGAAGGAAAGCAACTTGATCCCAATCTGGTCTGGAAGTTGGCGCTTGAGGATTTCCAAATGAACCAAAAAATTTTCGACAAGCCTAGACAGAAGGAGATGAATTTGGAAAGTGAAGAAGTCAACGTACCGTTAATTTGAGTGGGTGGAATTTACTAGGATGCCAAGCATTAATTACCTTTGATGGATCCTACCGACAGTCAACAGGACGTGCAAGTGCTGCTTGGAATATAAAATCCTCAACAGGGTCAATTTTACAAATAAAAGCGGTCCAAATACATGCTTTATCGGCCTCACAAGCTAAAGCGCAGGCGTGTAAATTGGCTCTCGAAGCTGCATTACAATTGGGTCTTACGAATGTTACGGTATATACAGACTGTAGTGCTTTAGAAGCGCAATGTTTGCGAGAATTGGATTTCCATGTAGAAGCTCAGATTCTAATAGGTGAAATTATTCAGCTAAAACATAAGTGTGTTAGGTGTTCTTTAATTAAAGTAGATAGATGTCAAGTAGAAGAGGTACATAAGCTTGCCTATTACCAAACAATGTGTACAAGTACCCCTCATTAATCTTTTAATATAATTCTTTAATCTGCAAAAAAAATGACGTTACTTGTCCAGTTTGCAGCACGTGATTCGTGCATGAAATGTGTATAATGCCTAGTTAAGAGAAAAGGCATAATAGTTGGAAAGACGTGTGCTGGTTTAGTTAAACTTTGCGTTGTAACGTACAAAAGGTTATCTTAGATATAGTTTTGTCATGTACTCGCGCTGTTTTACTTTGAGATATACTTACTATGAGTCTCCAAAATATTTTTGTTTCAAGAAAATAGTTTTTCCTAAATGTTGCTAGCAGTAACAAGTATTAAACAACACATATTTTACTAAACCAGCACATGTTTTTTTTTTCTAAAAAAAAAAAACAAATTTTATTGAAAATAATGATAAAATAGGACAGTGAATATACTAACCCTATAACAAAAAACAATCTTTAATCTGAAGGTAAAATTGAATTCCTATTCAATCTAGCAGAATGACGAACTTGAACTTTCTTTTTAGCCTTGACTTTTTTCGAATGATTGTTGTATATTGGAGCAGAAACTTCACTGTAAAAGGACTCTTGTTCTGTTACATACTCCATGTCAAAATCGTCATCATCAGAACCATTGGAAGCATGATTTAGTCCACCTTCAGAATTCATTTCGTCAATCAAATAACTTAAGTTAAAGGTCTCAGTATTCTTTCCTATCTCCGTATCATCCTTGGAAAATATTTTCTTGGGCATGTAATTGGCAGCAAAACCTCTAGAAGTGACGGTTTGTGAGAGATGGTAAATTCTAGAGCCTCAGGGTTTAACTTTTGATTGCTGGAGATTTTTGTTGAAGAGTTTCCTTCCTTATTTGAGAATTGTGGAGAGTTTGACTTTGCATTATCTTCTCTAGAAACTGAAACAACCGGATTGGAGGTCAGAGAATTGTGCTTATCCGCATTTAAACAAACCGAGTCAAAAGGTAACAGCTGCGTTGATGGTATTGAATTTTCGGAATTGCTATAACTGTGGTAACTATCAGATTTTGCGGGATTTTGCGGGATTTCCTCTGCCGCTGGCGTAACTGATCATCGACTTCTTTCCGGCGATGAAGCACCGCCGTTTCTGGCAGTATCGATCAGGTTTGGTGGTTGTTGTTTCTCGACAGCAGCCACAACATTGCAGGTTTTTGGAGAAGGCTGTGTAGGAGGCATGGGATTCCGTTGTACAGCAAGAGGCCGCGATGTTTCCACCGTTGATTCTCGCCGTTCTGATGAAGAATTCTTCCCTCCATTGCTGGCGGCATCCTTTGATACTAAAGGACAATCTACTACAGCGGCAACATCAGAGGACGAAGCAATATCAATTTGGCCAGAAGAGGTGTGTTGCGCAGCGAATTTCTTAGTAGCAGCGACGGCTTCAGCAGAATTCAATTGCTGCAGCAAACCATCAATGTTTTGCAAGTGTGGAGAACTCTCAGTAGCAGCAGCGACATCCATGGATCGCTGATCATCTGAGGGTTGATTTAGGGGCACGAGAAAAAATGCAGCATCCTTTTCTTGCAACCGCGGAAGTGTATCATCAGATGCGTCAACAACAACAATTGATTCTTCGCCGGCTAACACATCTTGCAACTGCGGTTCCGCAACAGCAACTAGCGCGGCAGCTTCAACATCCAAGGACAGTGAAGCTTCACCGGCAGGGACCTCTTGCAACCGCGACTCTGCTACAGGAACAGTGGAAGTGACTGGATTTTTGGCATCATCAATGGTTTTCTTTTTGGCTGCATCAATAGCAGCATTTGAGAGGGATGGATTTCCTCCTATTGTAACCGGTTTCTCAAAATTACGTGATGGTGGTTGCTTCCCTTGCTGGTACTATTTTGGTGGTTGCTTTGAATGGGGCAAATCAGATGGTTTTGGTATCGTTTTAGTTGTTGTGTTATACATACAGGATTGAAGATCATGTCCCAGCCTTTTGCATTCGCTACAATATGATGGCATGTTTTCATAAAAAGACTGGTTGAAAGTAGGTCGACCCTTCAACCCCTAGCTGGATCCAAATTGGATGCTCCTTGAGGAGATCCAACTCTACACAGACTCGAGCCATAGATGGTCTTGACATATTAAGAGTTGGGATGTCAATTTGGAGAGGAGTTCCAATGATACTTGCAAGTTTCCACAGATATGCCTTGTTGAATCGATGAATGGGAAGGCCTTCAAAGGCAATTCAGACTGGAACAATGGAGCTTTCGTGTGCCAGATTAAAATCAGTGGTCCACTTTAGAACTCGCATTCTATGCGAGTCGAAGGTCCATAGACTTTTTAACCAGCAACGATGGAAATCTTCTTCTAAATCGAAACATATAAGGATATGTCGGAAGTCGATCGATCCAAGGGAGTAATTCCCTTTGAAACCAATAGTTTGGAATTCCCTACGCAGATATTCCATTTTTGGTCGACCTTTAGTGAATTTCTCTACCAGAGCTAGACGAAATGGGGCAGCCAATCGATCATCCTCTTCTTTGGTTATAATGAAAGTAGGCTCTCCTTCAAACAATAATGGTTTTGAGTGAATCTCAAATTCTTGTAAATCATGGTTTTTGGTTGAGTGATTTTGTATTGTCTTTGGATTTGTCTTCGATCCCAAAATCTGGGCAAAAGAAGGTTTATGGCCTATGGCCGGCGGCGTATCGCCGACCATAGGTGGAAAGGAGAGAGATGTCAGAGGTTAAAGCAAAACACTTGTGGCGTTATCTAGACCAGCACATGTTAGCATAAAAGAAAAACGTAAAAAATAGAGTATAATAGAGATGGATTGTCAATGAAAATGAACTATTAGTGGTTAAAAATAATTATAAATATCCATGTAAAGCACAAAAAACAAAAAAGAAACCAACAAACAAAGCACACCTATGTTGATCATCAGTCCAAGGCTCACGGCTCTTTCGAGTTTTATAATAATTGTCGCATAATGACATAACTTCTCCTCTACGAGTAACTTTTTTTGTTTCATGTTCAATCATTTTCCTTTCTTGTCTCTAGAAGCATGACTCACCTGCTTATCAGGTATCCTACATAAAATGACATAATTAGGCAACGACACGTTACCAGATTCAATGGTACCTATGGCTAACACTAAGGCATCAAAATAGCATTGAACATCCTTGAATGTTCACCCAAGAACTAAAGCAGCAACTTGCACCAGCATATTTGCATAAGTGGAATGATCAGCAAGGGTATTTGCGAATGCTGTATTCCTTTCTTTGGACCATGATGAACTGAAATATCTTCTGTTTCCTCTCATTTTCAAGAATATAACATGTAAACAAGAGATGGACAAGATTCTAATCTAAACGAGTTCACAAGGGTAACAACCACTGTGATAGATTATATTTTTGGGAAATAAATATATGATGATGTCATAATGTGCACTTACCAAAAGTAGATTTCCAAAATCTTGTGCAATTCACTATTTGGTAACATTGTTCAACTTATCTTTTTTTTGGGGATAAAAACATCAAACTAAAACCATAAAAAATTATGCTAATATAATTATCGATTTTAATAGTGCATATTATTACATGTGAAACTCATTTAAATTACCATTTTGTTCAGTAGTTGGGTTGCATAGTTTGCATCTTATTTTATTAAGTGAATTAAGTTTATTCAAGTTGGTTGCACGGATTGTACAATATATATATATATATATATATATATTTGGAAGAACCAGAGTAGTACCTGGCCGCCATCCTCCAGATTTTATTGTTTGAAAAATAAAATTACAAAGTACAGTACTTAAGACTTAGCGAAAAAGAAGAACTATCTCAAAAAGATATAAAAAATCTCATGATGGTTATGGTACAATTAATACCTATGAACTGTCTTACGAAATTCTGCATAATAGCATGACAGTTCTTCTGTTTCTATAATTCATAAACTATGAACTGACTTACAAAGATTAAGCATAATCCCATGACAGTTCTTCTTTGTATATTTAAGTATACTTCATAGAAAAAGAAATAAAAATTTCAAAAAGAGAAATTATGCTATAAAATTATCTACTACGAATATATGGCATATTTCGCTGATCGAGTAGTAATAGGTCCCTGGGAAATTCAGGAAGATCAACAATAAAATTAAAGGTCTGTGAACAACCTGCTGATGTTACCTGGACTAAGCTGTCTACTGCTGCATTGGTCTCTATATAAACATGAGTATAGAGTATCCCTTCTTATTCATTATGAACTGTATCTCTCTCAATTGGAAATAATATTTCCAAGGTAAATCTCCTTCCACAAAAAAACTGGCTATTACTTGATTGGTTATTTTCATACATATTATTATTTTTAGTTTTGCTTTGAAAACTTATGGGTTGGTGGATTTTGTTGAGCTCTGTACTGCTTTAGATTTGGCTTATCAACGAACACCACGAACAAAATAATCGTACCCTCTCAGTAGATTATCTAACTAATCTATCAAATGACTAAAATTTAAAACTATATGAGAACAGAGAATAAAAGCAAGATATGACATATTAAAACAATATTATTTCTCCATCTTCCCATGATGAGAACACGGGTGAAAATATTATTACCTTGGAGTTTGGGTGAAGAGAAGTGAGTGCCACTAGGGCTGCTACTTAGTCGGGTGTATGCGACAACCCACCCGAACCGAACCCATTTCGGGTGAAACGGTTCGGGTAATCAGTTGAATTCGAGTTTATTCGGATTCACCCGAATAACCGTTTAGATAAATTGGTTCCGGTGCAGGCGGTAAGAAATTACTTCGGGCCCCGCCCAAAAAACCGAATTATTATTACTATTTTATTATATATATTATTATTATTATGCCAGTGTTTATTTTTTTCCTTTCTCATTCATTTTTCTTTCCAAAGCCGCCAATAGCCCAGTATCCAAATCCATTTTCTCTCCCACTTCAACTTTGACACCTCCGTCAATCCAACTCAACCCATCAACCATAATCTTCTTTTTCTTCTTTTTCCTCTTCTCCTGACTCCTTCGCTCCTGCATCGGCCGTCATATTTCTTTCTTCCTCTTCTCTGCCTCGGCCCGTCACCATGTTTTGTTTTTATTTTTTTTTAATAAATTAAAACCATCACCTACAAAATTAATTTCAATTAAGATTGTGTATTTTGTTTAATTGCTTAGATCCGGAAGTGACTGTGTTGTTGGGTTGTTTGTGTTTTGTGTGAATTCTTTTCAGGGAGGGGCACAGGGCATGAAATTTGGATTTTGTTCTCTCTTTTAATTCGTCAAGAAAGAGAATTGTAAGGGAAGAAGGAAGATGAATATATGTGTGTATACCAATGGCCCAGATGCCACATATGAGGAGGGCGGAATTTTCTTCCTTGTCTGACCAGATTCGTGTCATGCTTTTGGAATTTTGGTTGGTGTCGGTTTGATCAGCCCCCGAATCGAAAACTAGATTTTTTATTGGTTCGGTTCGGTTCGGTTTCATATGATTTTCAATTCGATTTCAGGCGGGTCTTACGAGAAAAAAAATCCAATTAACCCAAACCGAATTCACTCGAACCGCACCAAACCGCCTGAATTAGCAATCCTAACTGCCGCAGCTACTAGGGTTAATTTCTCTTTAGTGTAGTCCATTGGAATTTTGCCACCGACTTTGCTTAATTACTTTGTAAGATGATTTTCAATTTCAACCTTTCAATTGTATGGATTTTTGAGAGATCGGAGCAAGAGGGAACGCCTAGACGACGTTTTTATTCATTCCTGGGTTGCAGTAAGTAGATCGAGAAGTCGTTCCGCCCCTTGTCCCCAACTGAGGGTAATATATTCTCTTTAAATCTTGCTTCAATCTGACCTAGCTGGCGAGCAATCCCAGTTCGCGACAGAGAACAAGACAGCAACCGAGCGTACCTTTGTTCGCTTCTTCGTAACCAAGCACGAAAGTTTAAGGATAATTGTAGGTCGGTGGCTACCTAAGGAAACTCTGATTTGATCCGCCCCCCGGCTGGGAGGCATCTATTTGGTCTGTATGAATTGTGATCATTTTTTTTTCTTTTTCTCTTTCCTTTTTTGTTGGATTTCCCCGATGCTGGAAATCTTTTTATTAATTTGTCTCAGCACAAACCAAAAATTAATTTTTTTAAATAAACTTTCCATTTATAAAAGAAAATGTTACATGGCTTGATTAAGTTGAAGGCACGTTCTAGCTAGTCTATGCGAACCTTCAACTATTTCTCTAGTGATTTTCAAGACACTACAAGTATTAAACCTATTAATAAGACCCCTTAGTTCTTCTACCAATGGAAGCAAGTTGATGTGACAAGTCTTCTTTTGGATGATGTAATTTGCCATATTCTGGCTGTCTGTCTCTATTCGACAGTCTTCAAGACCCATGGAGATCGGCGCCTGGAGTCCCACCACAAAAGCTCGCCCTTCCGCATCTTCTGCTGATGATGCATAGAATGCTTTCATGCCTGAAGCGATACATCTACCTTGGTTTGAGATGATCTCCCAATCTCCAGCACCACGATGGAAATGCTTGCAAATAGGCCCCATCTGTCCGGATATAATACTAACCCCTCATTTGTTCGATGATAGTTGCAGTGTCATTTGGCTTATCAACTGATTGGAAAACTCTTAGGTCATGCAGTTGAGTTGGCTTATTGAAGACGTTCCACTCAGTTATTGCCAATCTTTGGACTAAGAGTGGATCCAATACCTCTCCTTCCCAAACCGCCTTATTCCTGGCTAACCATATTTGCCAAAGAATAAAAAATTACTGTTTGATGATCCCTTGTTCGGTGTGATTGTCAACCATTCATCCATCCAAACTCCAATTTTACCTCCATTGCGCGCGGTTGTGAGACTTCATTCCATTCAACGCCAAAAAAACTTTTGAAAAAGTCCTTTCCCTCAGAATTCCGAACATTCAAATCATGCACCTTAATCATAAGGCCAACATGATTTTTGATCACATGTATTAATCCTGAAACTACCATTTTCACATCCTCAAAATATGCCTTATTCCGGGCTTTCTAGGTTTCCCGCAAGATCATAATCGGCAGCAACAGATACAGCATTCCTAGCGCCGAATTCTTTTTCCCTTTTCTCCACCATCTTTGTAAAGTTGAAGCAAGAGTGGTCGTATCACTCATCTGGAGATGCAACAAAACAGCAAAGTACTTCCAAACCTCGCATACCATGCATCAACCAAAAAAAGTATGCTCAAAGCCCTCTCCATTCTCATAACAAAACAAACAAACCGAAGGCAGTATTTGAATCCCCATTTGACACAAAATTTCAGGAAATGGTAGCAATTTGTTTCACAGCTTCCATACAAAGAAAGAGGTCTTCAAAGGAACTTGCCTTAACAAAATTTTACATGTCCAACCTTCCTCCGGAAGTCGGTTTCTCATCACATCGTATGCCGATTTGACAGTAAAGGAACCATTAGGGTTATGCTGCCAAAAAAGAAGGTCTTCCTCTTCCTGAAGCTGAATTTCAAAAATTGCAAAAAAACGTTTCAAGTGATCAGTAAGTATATTAGAAAACTCAGACAAATAGAATTCCTTTGCATCAAAAAAATCCCTAATGGGAATCCATGCGTGCAGAGGCTTGATATTTGGAAAATCCCAAATAACACCATGTGGTAACCAATTGTCGAACCAAAAAGATCCATTCCCTCCCCTCACAATAAGTTTGGTGTTACTTGCTGCCTTCAATTCAATTTTCGAAATGCAACTCCAAGAAGTCTTCCTTTTTGCCGCATTTGAAAGTGAATTGACGATTTGCTCCATACACCTTTCCGTTGCCTTAATTTCCACCATAATTTAACCATCAAAGAATCAATTATTCCCTGAAAATCTCGCAGCCCCATAACCATTCTCCCAAACCGGAAAAGTAAGCCTCTCCCAGGACCTCCAATGTCACTTACTAATATCCGCTGTACCACTCCATAAGAAATTCTGACACTTCTTCTCCATTTCTTGGATAATAGAAATGGAATTGAAGATAATACGTGCCTTATTAAAATGAGGTGACCACCCGAGCTTATAAGCTTGTTCTTCCAACTCAGAAGCTTAGCATCCATATTATTCAGAAGCAACTGAAAAGTAGAGGCTTTGCGCCTTCCATGATACAAGCGACACCCTAGATAAGTAAAAGGCAGTGAACCTTTTTGAATGCCTAGGGTGTGACCAATAATGCCAATTCTCCACTCGCTACAATTCTCAGCCACCATAAACGCACTTTTCTGCCGATTAACCTTTTGTCTCGATGCTTCTCATAAGTAGCAAGGAACGAATTCAGCTCCCTAAACGACCTTTTCAACCCCCTTGTAATGATAATAAGATCATCAGCAAAAGCCAAATGTGACACCACAAAGGACCCCCTTGGAATTCTATAATTAGCCACTAAACCACTACATACAAGGTGATTTAGTTGTCGAGTCATAGCTTCCGCCACCATGATAAACAAGTAAGGGGACAAAGGATCTCCCTGCCTAATCCCTCTCGTGGATTGAAAGAAACCCACAGGGCTACCATTTATCATCACAGAAAACCAACCATTGCGGAGGTTGTTCATTACAAGACAAACAAATCCAGAGGGGAAACCAAA